CCAACCACAACACATTATCTGGAACTGAGCCCAGGGAGGAGACTGTGATTTTTTTTTCAGCCGGAAAGGCTGAATGTATTGAAAAGGGAAAGCAAGGGTGCACTTGTCTTCAAAAAGAAGAACAGAATGGCACTCCATGGCATTTAGCAGAGCTCCCTGTCAAACACTGGTCGACCAGCAAGGAAAGTCTATAATAAACCCCTGATCCCCACTAAGAAAGCGGTCCCTGGAGCTCAGCTGCAGGGTTCCATCCAGGCTTACAGCGCTCCAAAAATCCGGGAGAGTGGGAAAGAGGGGACGAATTTGGTCTTTTGCTGGGGCCACTGATCTGAGGCCGGGAGTCGAAGAGGATTGGGAGAAGCCTCTCCTGGCTTCCAGGGGGGCGAAGAGAAGCCGGCCCTCTTTGCCACAACACAGCACCCTCGCTGGGATCACCGCTGCAGCGTTCCCACTTGTTGCGCAGTGCAGGGCACCAGCATGCGCCACGCTAACTTCGACTCCAGCTGGGCTCCAAACCAAGTTACAGACCAGACAACCATCGCCCCCAGCAATCCCCTAACCTCACTCCCGAATCTCTCCCCCCTCCCCCACGCATACACCACCATCACCGCCGGCAAAACTACAGGGCTTCCAGTCATTATGGATCTTAACACTACTAATAAAGCATTCCTTCTTATCTCAATGTCAGGCAGGTAACAGAATTCAGGTGCTCTGAGAAGTCAAGTGGAAAGGGAAGGGAAGGGGGGCTACCTCCTCCAGGAGAACTCCCTTGCTTAAAGCCAACTAGGCAACCTTTCTCTCTCTCTGGTTTTCTCTCTCTCTCTCTCTCTCTCTCTCTCTCTCTTATTGGAACTACTTTGCTGATTATACGACACCATCCTAGCTGAAAATCAACTTTTCCTCTTCCCATTTGAGAGATCAACTGCAAAGTCCCTTTTTAAAAAGTTAATTTTATATCCGCTTGTTAAAGGCACAAAAAAATAAAAAATAAATTCCTCATAAGGTCATTTCACAATATTTTTCAAATTCTTTGACTTGTGCACACAGAGTCTCACCCACCGAGGGGTGGCGCTGCCACACCACCTCCTCTGAATCTTAAGTTTTTCATAACGAAGTGGCTTGTGAGTGTGGCTACCGGGCAGGAGAGAGAGGGAAGGAAGGATTTTGACATCGAGTCATGGCTAACATTTACTCAACCAATAACTGGAACTCTTCAGGGCTCAGGAAAGGACAGCTTAAGAGTTTAGAGTCCCACGCCTGTCCACCAAGCCCAGAAAGAATTGGAAGGTCTTTTCAAGAAAGCATGGGATAAAAACCCTTCCAAACTGAGCACAGAGGAAAGGCCAATTGGAGAACTCCCCCTTCCTCTGGCTGCCTTCTCCTTCAGGTTGCCTAGTTTTCACAAACAGCTTCTGGCCTCATTGTCACAATCAACAGACCCTTAAAATCAGCCAATGCGCTTGAGCCTGCAGTATTAGAAAGTCTTCCAAAATAGTACGATATTGGAAACTTCTATTTATAAATGGGGGGAGGGGAAATATTTCTCATCTACAGGTTTCTATTTTGGCCTGAAGACTCAACAGCAGTCATTTGAGCAAGGGAATGCCCATTTCCTGGTGCCCTCTTTCCATTTCTTCCTCCCCCAGAGACATATCTTTTCTCTCTTTTTTTAAAGTATATATTTTAAAGCAAGAAAGTGATTTCACCTCATTCCTTTGAGCTCATGTTTGCTACCTCCAGGAATAGCGTGTGGACTAGGGCCAGATGAACTTCAACTTGGGCTGCAGATTTACGAGGTTCTGTTCCAGTGCCAAAGGCTCTTGGTAGTAAATCGTGAGCAAAACAGATACCTGTCTCCCTGACGGATCTTGCCCCCCTCTTATATTTTTTAAGTTATTTATTAAAACCACACACACACCTTGCAAAGAAAAAGGGAAACTGGCAGTCTCTGTAGAGGAAGCCAGTGGCATCGCTCAGAGCCACAAACTGTATTTCTAAACAGCCCTTTCCCTGGTTCCCTCTCTCCTGCCCCACTTTTTTCTTTCTGGACAGTAATAAAAAAATGCATCTACTGGTATTCACTTTACTTATTTAAAAAAAAATTACAAGATTTTTCTTCTGGAAACTATAAACTAACTAGAAAAAAAACCCATAAAGGATTAAATTATTTTGGGGTTTTGGGGGTGGGGTAGGTGGCTAGCTCTCTCAGAAGGGACACAGTAAACAGCTCTGGACTTTCAGCATACTGTTTAGGGTCACTCCCCCTGCTCAGCTGTCAGGACCCCCACCACCAAGTCTTAACTACTGGGAGAAGGGATACAACAGTAAAGGGGTCTTTTTCACTCTTTTAAAAATCTGTTGTGTTGTGTTCTTGTTTTTTCATGGGGGAGCTTTAAAACTCATGATTGCAACACCAGTTCCATTTTTCAGCAGAGTTCCAAAAATACAGCATCATACAGGCAACGCAATCCACAGCTCTCAAGAAATTTACCATGATCAGGTCACTACAGCCGGCAGCGGGCTGGCCCCTCGCTCCAGCTGTCGCCGGGAGCAGCCGACTTCCGAGGCTCCAACTCCCAACCAGCTCCCGCCCCGGGCCGCCGCCGCCGCCGCCGCCTTCTCCCATTCCTACTCCCTCGAGAAGAGCCACAGGTTGCAAACCCAACCAACCGCACATTCCGATTTTGCAAAATCACTCACAAAGATCTCCCTTTCGCGCCCGCGCCCCCTCCTCCCGCGCCGGGTCGCCCGGCCAGGTCCACAAAGTGTTCTCTCCTCCCGGGTCTTGCACGTTGGAACGCGGGCTGGGGCTGTTTTGTTTTCCCCTGCCCAGTGCAAGGACCTCGGTAATGTAAAGCCTAATGTTGGCCACTTTCCGGCCCGCCGTTGTCATTTTACAAAGGCTGCACCATAGGAAAAATAAAATAAAATTTAGGAACCAGGGGGAACAGCCATTGGGAGCTAACACCAAGTCACGCAGTACCCAAAATACAAACACCGCGACCGCCAAGAAATCCCGCCACCTTCCTTCTCTGCTAGGCTGTCTGGTGAAGCTTCCCGGAGTCCCCACACACTGAACAGCACCGCAGGTGCAAACGCGTACCCCTTGACCACCTCCCACCCCCAAATCCCCGTCCCGCCATCAGCTTCTCTCCTTAGGATGGGAGAAGGAGCGCGTGGTGTTCCCGACTCCCTTGTCTGCAACCAAGAAAGAATAATTTCCAAAAGTATTCAACATCCCCGCCCCCAGGCAAGCTAAACCTCCCCCAAAACACAGGGAAAGGGGACACCAAAACACTCGCATCTCGTTAGGAAGATCACGGCTCTGAACGGAAAAAGTAGAAACTATACTTCATCCGGATTTTAAGGGGATTAAAAAAAAAAAAGCCACCGAGGAGTTCGATTGCATTTTTCCCTTCAAAATCTCGGCTCGGAGGCAGTGAATCTAGAGGACCGAGGCCGGTGGAAGAGAGCCAGCGGGACGAGCGAGCGGGCGGTCTCCCTCCTCGCCTCCCGGAGTTACTAAGAAGGACGGGAAGGGGATGGCAGAAGAGGCCAGGGCAAGGTGGAGGGAGGGAGGGAAGCCGAGGCAGGAGCGAGGTTAGCAAGGAAGGCAGTTTGCAAGCTAGAAAAGAGGGGAAAAACACAGCCGCACGAATCCAGCGAGATCACAAGCCGTACGCAAGCAGGCAGCAGAAAGAGCGAGAGCGAGGGCGAGAGCGCGAGCGCGCGTCCTCTCCGCGGTCTAGGGCCAGACAGCCCCCAGACTTGCCCCAAACACCCCCCAAACACTGTCTCGTCCTCTCTGCTCAGGCCGCCCCCTAACTATCCTCCTTCCTCTCCTCCACCTCCTTTTAAAAAACCAAAACAACACAAGGGAGGGTGGCAAAAGCCTTCCCAAACCGGCCGATTCACTCAGACAACAAGAATCAAATAACAAATACATAAAAATCTATATCCTAGAGTGGGAGAGACATGGGACTAATCTTCGGCATTTATTTTAACACCTGACAGCTAGAATAAATAAATATATACATTTATATCAATAGATACACATAGGAAACTTGGAGCCAAAGCATTTGGCAAGAGCGGAAAAAAAAGAATTAAAAGGTAAAATAATGATCATGAGCAGCGGCGGCGGCAGCGGCACCAGCGGCAACAGCGGCGGCGGCGGCGGCAGCAGCAGCAGCGGCGGCAGCAACAGCAATAATCACCTGGTGTCCGGCCTTTCCTAGAAACTTCTTGCATCACCACTTCTAAGAACCCCAGTTCTAAGAATCAACAGAGCTCAATTCTCGGAATTTGAGCTTCGGACTTTACCACTGCTACATGGCAGGGGAGGACTCTATGTCAGCTCCGCGGGACTTTTGCCTCCCCTCGCCGGTACAAAGCATTAAAAGCATAATATTTTTCCACCGATCGGCATATTTAGAGGTTCTACTGGGCTGGGCGTCTCGGATTTGGAGGTTCTGGTTCGAGGCTAGAGGGGGCGGACAGTGGACCTCCCTCCCCGGACTCAGGACGATGGTACAGCCTGCTCCGCCAGCATCACGTGGGCGGCCCCTCTGTGACGTCGACGTCTTCGCTGTAGCAAAGCTCGGCCTCTGGAATTCTGAGAACTAATTTGCTATTCGGTGACATAAGAGGGGGAGTGCGCTTTGCTTTCCTGGGGTCTGGGGCTAATTCCTCCTCTCTTACCCATAAACTCAGCTCCTGGAGCTAAATTACACGAAAGGGAGCGAGAGAGTCGAACCGTTGGGAAAAGTCTGTTATATATACTAGGTTTAGAAGCGAGTCAGAGAAAAAACAAACACCACAGCTCTTTGCAGCTAGAATAGTAGGCACCACGAGAAAAATATTTGCCAAGCAGTTTTCGGTGGGTTCATTTGCTTTATTTTTATTTGGGACAGTTTTTGTTTTCCTTGTCAATGTGATGGGTTGGGATTTTTGGTGGTTGTATTTTGATGGTTTTCGGATTTTTGCTTCTGATGTTTGCCTTTTGCAAGTTTGTGGTGTTACGTAAATCGTAGGATCCCGCAAAGGTTGGATTTGGGTGTCGTGTGTGTGTGTGTGTGTGTGTGTGTGTGTGTGTGTGTGTGTTTCCCTAATCTCTCAAGCTTTTTAAAGAAGATGTGCTATTTTAATACTGATGCTATTACTGAAAGAAGCTGAAATTTTTGGTCGTATGTAAGCTACCCAACCCCCTCTTTTTTTTGGGGGGGGGGGGCGGTTCAGCAATTTTGTTTTTCCCCTTGGACTTTTACTGAGAGCTTAAGTGGCTGTTCAGAGGATTTGTTTTGTTTGGGTTTGTTTCTTTCCAGGACAGCAAGTGGTGGGTTTACTCTTTCTGTTATTGTAGACTTAGGAAATTTCTTGCTGCAGAAACGTGTGTGTATTTAGGTATGTGTACGCATGTGTTCTACAAAATTCTGTGAGCCAAAAATACCTGTTTGTGTTTTGCTTTTTCCTAAAGTCTTGATTCCTCCCCACCCCCAACCCCACTCCTGTCTCCTTTCAAGGTCGTTGTCAAAAATCTCTTCTGTCTCTGTTCTAAGACATCAGCCGGAGGGAATTCTAAAGGCCTGCCATGCCAGAATCACAGATACTGCGTGTATTTAGAACAGACTGTGCTACAACCATAATGCGCTGCACGCAGCACAGTTCTCAGCTTTCAAGCTGAGTTGGGAGGAGGAGGAGAAAGGGGAAATCTTTCTTTCTTCCTTCCTTTCTTTTTTTAAAGGCAAATGCAGTGCAGAATCATTTCACTGTGGGCCTTGGTTTGTTTATTCAGAACTGCCAGTTTCCCTATTTAAATGTTGGTTGGGGTTTTTTCCCCTCCTACTCATCCCTGAATGAGGGAGACTCTTGTTTCTTTAATGTCTCTCTCTTAAAAAAAAAAAGGGTGTGAGGGGAAAATAATATTTCAGATTCCTCAAGTATTAACCCAAAATGTTTGGACCAGAAGCAGATTTCAAAGGTCAGGCTGTTCTAAGCTTTGGCTATGAGAGTCCTTCCGGCGACTCATTAAATTACAGATGAGTTCTTAAAGGTTTCACAAAATTTCTGCACATGTTAATTTCCAATAACGATATCATCCAAAATAATGTACCTCTCCATCCCTCAAATTTGGGTTTATAATGGAGACGTGAGCAGAGCTATGAAAGATTGCTGGCTGTTTCCTGGGATATTTGGGATCTCTTTCCCAAAAGAAGTCTATAAGAAGTTCATATCTATTGCTGACAATGCTGTGGTTGATGCAGCCCCCTTTTTAAAAGGCTGCGTTGGGGTTTTAGAACCAGGAGAGGTCCAAAGGAGGTGATTATTTTCTACACGGCCTGGAGCTTAGGAAATACGTAGGTCCGTCCTTGAGAAATCTGAATAGTTTAATACTTATTTACAGCCTCTCAGAAAAGCATGTCATGTGACAATTTTTTTGAAAAATATACATAGGTCTAATCCTGTCACTGTTGTTGAAATGAACATTTTACCCTTAAAGACACATGATATTGTCAAGTCGCAGATTCATTCTGCCAGAGGCTTATGGGTTTTTTTTTTTTTAATCATCTCATTTCCCCTCATATTCAAAGAGTTTTAAATGAATCCCACTGGATTCAAAATGACAACTCGACTTTACTGAAGTGAGTTTCTTTGTGTATTTATATGTGTGATATTTTTTTTCTTTTATGAGCAATAAGAACTTTAGGGTCTCTTGGGAGTATTTATATGGTTTGGAATGTGAATTGTATGAATCTGCCCTATTATTGGTGGTACAATGAGGTTTTATGATTTTTGGATATTTTTCTTGTAAAAGTTGCCCTCTAGCCTCATTGGTCCCTCCCCCAACCCCACCTTAACACACTCAGCTTGTCCCTTCTGCATTCTCTTTGCTACTTCAATTTTAGCCCCATGGGGGCGCTGAAGAGCAAAGGGAAATCTGCTCCCTCTGGCAATAGAATTAACCCGAGTGGGGGCTGGGAAGGAATTCACCCTTCTTGTACCTCAGTCCTCTTTAATTCTCTGCAGGGAGCGCTAGGAGGGAGAACCCACCAGGCTTGATTTTGAGATGATTAACCCCATCACCAGGGACCTCAAACCTTCTCAGCATATTATTTCTGGGACCAAGTTCCAGAGTCCTACCTTTTCTTTTCTTTTCTTTTCTTTTCTTTTCTTTTCTTTTCTTTTCTTTTCTTTTCTTTCTTTTCTTTTCTTTTCTTTTCTTTTCTTTTCTTTTCTTTTTTTTCTTTTCTTTTCTTTTCTTTTTTCTTTCTTTCTTTTCTTTTTTCTTTCTTTTTCTTCTTCAATTTTTTTTTGCCAAATCAAACTGTTTACATTGAAAGAAATTCATTAACACAGACCATTACAAGAAAAAAAATTATTGAAAATATTCCAAAGGTAGAGATTCACTTTTAGGTAGGCCCCTTCCTCTCTATTGAATGAGTGGCAAGGAAAATTGTGCACCCACCTCTCAATCTCTTTTCAATTCCTAGGAATAAACTTTATCAAATTTTATACCAATTGAATCTCTTCCAGCATATTCTTCCTTCTCTCATTTTAATCACTCTCCGTTAGTAACCAGTTCACATCGCTATGTAAGTCTCCCTCACTACAGCAGTGCTACCATTATAGGATTAAAGATAAGATTGACTTGAATATATTCAAATTCTTTTAAATCATCCTGAAGAAACTCTAAAGAGAAATTCCATGTCTGGAGTCTTATGTGTGATTCTTGGAGATATGGAGGGGCTGTGTATCAACCAGTCCTATGATTTAATGACTCTACTGGCTATTAATACTCAGAATAGGGGACCAGCCCAGCCTTTGCTCGGTGGACTGGGCATAGTAATAGGTTCCTAATTGCAACTGCTGGGTAAATATAAGCTTTGTTATAAAATAAAATATCCTGGTCCTAATGTTACAACTATTTAAGGAAAGGAACACATTTTGCATCCAGTTCCACTCACGAAATCTTCCTCACAATTCAGTCATAGCTGAAAAGGAACCTATTGTTGGAATGAACACTGTCTGGTCTCATTCTAAGGGGGCTCCAAATAGGAAATTGTTTTCCCCTGTCAGGAACTTCTGCTACCTGGGCAGATCTATAAACTATCACATTACAGAATTACAGACTTTCAAGCTGAAAGGAACCTTGCCCATCAATAACACAACTCCCCCAGGTTTCCTTCTACCAGGAGAAGCTGGCCCTCAACTGTAGACATGCATGACCCCAGGAACACAGCTGAAAGGGGGTCTTTGTGGATTGATGGTTCTGTGTCATTTTAGAAAATCAGGGTGATATGACTATCTGGGTTTGGAGGAGGTTACCTTGTTTTCTGGCAGAATTGAGGGAAGCAAGGCTGCTTTGGGCTCTGTGTAAATTATAAACTGGTTCTCAGAACAAACTCCAAGTCATGATAAGTATTGACTTTTGATGGTCGTTTGAATTTGGTTATGCTTGTCACCTGTGCTGCTGTGACACTATTTTTGATGGATATGGGAGATGTTATCTACCTGACATGAAAAAATTTACCTATTCATTTTATTTCAATTCCTTCATTTAGAGCTATTGCAAGCAAGCTCAGTTTATTATCATTGGAGAAAAAAAGGAGTTTTCTTGGTATTTTTCAGAGATAATGGAGCAGAAAGTTTTGAGACATTAAAAAAAAGATGATTTCTAGCCACTACTTTCTGAAAAAGTGTCGATGTTTAATTTTGATCCATATGCTTCCTGCTTTCAGCCTGTATTATTCTAAGACTTGTTTTTTTCTTTTCAGCCTAGCTCAGAATTTTTCCTCCAAACACTGATTTTTCCACTTTCCCCACTTATATGAAATGGAAATAAATATCGGGAGCTTAAAATAGAGAAGTAATTGGGGGGAGGGGGGCATGTAATCATTTGTTTATTGCATTCGATCACTGTTTTTGAATAGCAGGGTTTTCACTTCCTATGAAACCTTCGCATGAAGGAAAGCAGCAGCTGGACTCTGAGAGGGATGAGAGGAGGAAAGCACTTGAGTGTTTGTAAACTCAGGGTGGAGGGCCCACCCTTCTGCCCGCTGCTGTACTTAGCTGTCTTTACTACTTAAGGCTAGAAGTGGAAAAACTTGATTTGCATGTTGTGCCTGAATTTTTTTTTCTTTCTTCTCCACACCGCCCTCTGTACACCTGACCATGCAGAAGCCTATCTGAAGCCGGCTTGATGGCAGGGAGAGCTGGAGAGCGGAAGAATGTGCAGAGGGAGGGAGTGCTTGGTACTTTTCCATTCACATCTCCACAGTGGCTTTTCTTGTTTATTTCAGCCTCCACCCGAAGGAACCTTTCTGTTGCTTGAAATTCGAGTCATTAAACTGTTCCCTGTGGTCAGACTACAGATGTTTGGTGCATGTTTCCTACATGTCGGTGTCTGTGTAGCATATGTACCTATAGAGACACACACACACACACACAAACGTGTAACTCCACAGGGGCATAGTGTGAGGTTGGGTGGGGGGCGGGGCGGGGAGACACTGGATAGGTTGCCAAAAAAGCCTTGGTCTCTAATTACATTTCTGCCTGGAAGTCCTGATGGGACCTGGAGCAAAACCACTTGTCAAGACTCAGTTTCCTTGACTATGTGAAGGAGTAACCCAGATGATATGCATGATGTCTATTTGTTCAAAATTCTATACCCATGTATCTAAATGCATATTTACATAACTTTAAGGTGGGGAGGGAGAGATGGAAAGGAGCTTTGTGTACCTGGGATGGGGGAAAGGGTTAAAATTTAAACTTCTAAGTAAAGAAGGCAATCCTAGAATTCTCACCTCTATCAATTTTTAACCAATTGTAGACCAAAGTCTGGGATTATGCTGAGTTGGGTCCAAAAGCCAACTGAAGATTTTAAATGTTAGGAGTTGGAAGAGGCAGTTTCTAAGACCTTGTACTTTTGATCTCCAGCATTCAGAATCAAATGTGACAATTCCCAAGTGTCTTTTCTGCCCTAGAATTCTTCTGTAGTTTTGTTTGTTTTTGGAAACTGTCCCAGTTAATGATAGAAAGGAGATGACACTTGTAAACTGGGCAGTCTTTAAGCCACAGAGCCCCATGTGGGTGTGAAAAATATGTCATAATGTGGAGAGAGAGAAAGAGAGAGAGAGAGAGAGAGGAGAGAGAAGGGGGGAGAGAGAAGGGGGGAGAGAGAGAGAAAAAGAAAGAAAAACCTAGAGAGAGAGATTCCTAGTAAGAAACTTAGAGGTAACCCAGCCATCACTGCATTGAAAGTAATTATTTGAAGTCAGAGGAAATTACAGATGAGGAGTTTGCCTTTAAAAAAAAAAAAAAAAGCCTTGGTCTACCAGAAGAAACTTGAAGTTAATGAAAGAGATATTTTCCATCAAATTAATATTTCCTATATTTAAAAAAAAATATTTCCTATAATTTTTAAATCTTCATTCTTGAAAAAGAAAAGTCTAAAATTTTTCAAATCTGATTGTCTAGATAAAATAAGGTCTTTAACAGCAATGACCGCCGTACTACCACCATCTCTCCACTGGCTTAGACCTTCTGGAATATTATTGGTACCCCATGGACAAGGAGAGGTGGAGCCAATTACATAATATACTAGAACTGGGAGGGTCCTTAGCAATTATCCAATCCAACACTACTGATTTTGTATAATTGGAAATTGAGGCCCAGGCAGAATGTTTTTGCCACACACACTGAATCACTGACAGAGCTGGATCCAGAATTTGGATGCTCTGGTTTAAATCTGGGCTCTGGCTTTTCCATGGCTTATCATTGAAAGAGGATTTGGAGTGGGTAGCCCTGAAAAATAGCCATTTTCTGTGGCCTTACATTCACAGAAGGCCTCACATTTGGACTTTTGACATGATCTCCCCAGAGTTTCTCCATCAGTCTTTCCATACATAGACAGATGGAAAGAAGATCATTTTACATGTGTTTTGTGTTGGGTCCCAGCATAGGACTCAGTATATGATCCCCCACAGGCTCCTAAGGTACTGTGATTTAATATAGTTAATAAATCTATAGTTGTTTTATGAATGGTGCAATTGTATCATAGTTGGGTGCATGTTGAAGATAATAATTTTACATTTAAAATATCATTTGGCCTGAAAACAATGATGCTGCAGTAGCAGTGAGCACACCAAGCAGATCGTGACCTGATACATTCTCCAGTATTGGGAGGCAAGGCTTTTGAACAAATGGCTAATTCTAGTTCTAGGACTGGAGCAGGAAATACACAAAATTAGAATGGAATATCTTGTAGCACCATAGAGTAAGGAATTGTTAAAAACAAAAACTGTATCAATGAGGGATATTTCAAAGAGATCCTAAAGCCACCTGAAGAGCTCCAGTGGCCAAATCTGGAAAATTTTGAGCAACAAAATAGAGTAATGTTGAATTACAACCCAAAGTATGAAATGAATATCCACACATATATAAATAAATTTCGAATATATGAATAAATGGGAGAAAAGATATAAATCTCCCTTGCAGAAGAATTTCAAATAATGTATGAAGATACACTGCCCTCAAGGAGAGGAAGTATAACTCCCTACTTTTAAGTGTGAGCTGTGCATGGTGCCTTTCTTCCAAAGAGGACAGTATGGGAGGGAGGATGAGGGTGAGAGGAATTTTGTGTAGACAAACCTGCCAAACAGAGTACATCAAACAGGTCATCAAGGTCAACATCAATAGTGATAAACCATGGTGATTGTATCTACCTTTGATATGAGGTGATGAAAATGGTTCTCTACCTACATGACTCCGCAAAAGCGTCAAGGTCATAAAAAAGCAAGGAAAGTCTGAAGTAGTCAAGAATAGCCTGAGGAGATATGACAACTTAATGTAATATAGTAATCCAGATGGGAGCATGGAATAGAAAAAGACATAAGGTAAACCTAAGCAAACCTGAATAAATGACGGACTTAAGTTAATATGGTGTCAATATTGTTTTGTTAATTGATACAAATGTTCCATCGTATTGTAAAATGTTAATAATAGGGAAAACTGGGCACATAGCTGTTCTCTGTACTATCTTCTCAATTTATATATATAGTTGGAGAGGGGAGTGGGGAATAGGGGCATATCTTTATTTTCCTTTTCAATACCAGAAATCTCCAAAAAGTGAGCCAGGCCTCTCTCAACATCTGAGAGGGCTTGCTTCCCATCCAACCATGCCGCCAAAATAGAATCAGGGAAATAAGGAATCCTGCATTTATTCTTTTAGTTTACTAAATTGAAAGCGATTTAACTAATTTCTGTATAAAGAACTAAGAGGAGAATAGTAGGGAAGCACCAAAGGCCAAATGTTGTCATGATGGTAGATGACTTGAGCCACCTTATAAATCCACTTATTCCAGGTTTCTTTGTGGAAACCTTCCATGGAAGCAAGGCCTAGAAAAATCTTTCCATCAGTCCATATAGGACAATAGAACTTGGGGATTCATCACTGAGGTTGGGGGAGCCTCAAGAGCTTCATGGATTATCTGCTCTTTCATTGTACAACTCCAATAGAACTTTGGATCTCCTCAGAGTTGAATAGCAGAGTTGTAACCCTGGGGTATCTAAAGAACTGCTGACTGGACCCCAAAACTCTAGAAATTTTTATTCATTTTCTAGATAACATCCCATAATCTAAACTGGGAAGGTCAAGAGAGGATAATGGTTTGCAAAGATCACCCAGCAAATGAGTGGTAGAGTTAATTCCCATCAACCAGTCCATCCTGAATTATTTATTTTGCTTCAGTCTTCACTTTGGTAAACTGAGGACTGCTATTACCTTGATACACTACATTATTTTAGAAGTGCTTCATTAATTTCTAACCAATTGTCAGTTATCAATGATGTCTAGTTCGAATGCTGCACTTGAGTTTCCAGTATCTTTTCCTTCTTTCCCATTCCCTTTTTTTCCCACTTCTGTCAGCTTCTCTACCAAGTGGTTATAAGATCTTTGAATCAACCCTTATATTTACTATGGAGGCTGACATGTAAATAATTCTTGGTGAAATGCAGTGAGACTGAATCCTCTCATAGACCATTTCAGTTAGCATGACTCAGTAATCTATTTGGTCATGTATCTCAAGAGTCATAAATATAGTAATGCCCATTGACCCAGTAATTTTACTTCTAGGAATCTATCTTCAAGGCACAGTTCAATATACAGGGAAAAGTATCTTTGAATGAATATATATGCATTCAAGCATTCTATCTAACAACAAAAATTTTCAACAACCTATATGTCCCATCATGATTCATTTGGGGGAAAGGATGTTGGGTGGAAAATAGTTAAATAAATTATAGTACAACTAATTTTTAAAAATTGGAATTGGAAAATACTTATGGTAACAGGTGAAGTGAAAAGAAGTAGGATATATATAGTGGACATATATGTAAGTAGTGTATTCATAACTGTTTAACAATACTCTTCATAGAAATTAGACTGGATATACATACACAAGAGTACACAATTAACAAAAAATATTTACAATGGCTATTTTAGGGTTGTAGGATTATGGATGAATATTTTTCTCCTTTATTTTTTCTTTATATTCCAAATTGTATAAAGTTTATATATTAATTTGATATATTAGTATATCTCACAAGCTCACCCTCAATAGATGGAAGAGCCCTCGGTGAAAGCTTTTACATGCAAACAATTAGTTCTCTAATTTAGAGTTTTGGATGTTTGACCTAAAGTCAAAGCTTCCCACATCTTTAGGGCATAGAGCAAAAGTGAGAACTGCCCACTCACTCTTGGAGAAGACCTTTCACTCTGGGAGACACTTGTCTCCACTCCAACAAAACATCACCCTTTTTGAGCATATTGACCATAATGAGATTAAACAAATCTTGTAAATCTTTGATCTGTTTCCACCTCCGCGTTGGTTTTAGTATGCTTATCTTGTTTGTTGGTGTTTCACAGCATTTGCAAATGTCAAAGGTTTTCCTGGTTACTTCACTGTCTCTGTGAACCCACCCAGTAGCTCTCCTGGTAGATAGACCTTCATTGGCTCCTTCTGGGGCTCCAGGAGATTTGTTTTCTATTCTTATAACACATTTGACTAATGAATGCTAAGGAAAACAATGTAAAAATAAACTATATCAATGTTTATTTCTTCAGAGACTCATAAGACTGTTAGGAACTTTGGGGGATTATACATTATTTGAATCACTATTCCTCAACAAAGGGCATGAGAGTAGACATCAAAATCTAGGGGGTGAGGGTAAGGACCATGGTTCGGTTAAGCCCCTCTTCCCTTAAGCCACTGACTAATTCTTCATGCTCAGCTTTCTCTATTCACTCACTCATTCATCATTCAACACATGGTTCACTGGCAGTTTTTGTGTGGGATAAACACTGTGCTAG